ACTGGGACAACACCAAAATCCTGGGACAAGCTAAGCAGAGACAGGCAGGGGAATTCCTAGAAGCCTGGCACTCCACAAAGCATGCTATTAACAAACACATTGAACTCGACCCCATATACACTCCACTACGAAGGAAAACCGGAAGTGAGGCAATCCAGCTCAATGGACACCAGAGTTTTAAAAACCAGGCGGGAAAACATACCGACGCTTCATCGGAGGCTGCACTGAGGATGTTACCAAGCACGGTAACGAAACGTCTGCGGAACAACAAACTAGCTCGGTGAGCCAACCAACCTCAACACCCACAACCCGAGCTACAAATCTACTCCAAAACCTTATTAGCATTTAAGAGTTTATTAGCGTATTAGAGTTTAAGCGCAGGGAGGTTATGCTGGAACCATATAAAATGTTAATTAGACCACATTTTGAGTATTTCTTGCAATTCTGGAATCCATATTACAGGAGACGCAAGTTTACACTGGAAAGAGTGCAGAGGCGATTCACCAGAACGTTATATAACAAAGTGTGGAGCTGGAGGAACACAGCAGGCCAGGCAGCCTCAGAGGAACCGGAAAGGAGCTGCACACTTTTTTTTATCTCTGCATCCAGCATCTGCAGTTCTTGCTATCTCAATGATTTATACTTCACCAGAGCATTGCCTGGGCTGGAGAGTTTTAGTTATGAAGAGACGTTGCACAGACTGAGGTTGTTTTCCTTTGAATAGAAGAGCCTGAGGGAGGGCATGATTGACATGTATAAAATTATGAGGGGCATAAGGTAGACAGAAACTTTTCCTCTCAGTGGAGTGATCAGTGTGCATATATTTAAGGTAAGAGGCAGGAAGTTTAGAGGAGATGTGAGGCAAGATTTTTTTCATCCAGATAATGGTGGGTGTCTGGAACTCGCTGACTGTGAGGGTGATAGAGGCAGAAACGTTCATGAAATTTAAGAAGTGTTTAGATGTGCTTTTGTGATGCCAAGGCATACATGGCTATGGGCCAAGTGCTGGATAATGGGGTTAGAATAAGTGCTCATTCTTGACTAGTGCAGACTTGATGAGCCAAAGGATTGTCATCTCTGTAGATCTCTGACTTAATGATACAGGATTAGACGGTGATACTGGAACTGACTGTCAAGGAGTAGTAATGGCCATTCCTTGGTACTTGTGTGGCATGACTGCCACTAGCAACCTAACATAAAGAAAATGACTGAAGAAAACCCATTGGTCCACTTGATTTCATTCCGACAGTTGTGATGCTCTGGGCAACACTTCATGTTCAAAATGTACACTTCCTCATCACCCAGAGCTATGGAATCTCCTGGAAGAGGTGAAAAGCTAAATAAAAGCTCGGGCCAATTACAGCAATTGTATTTTCAACAGTTAAAGCTAGTTTAGGAGATCACTGTGTTATGAAGTACCACCTTTTATACAAGGCAGTCCCTTTCCTAGAGAGAAAATGATTCCAGCTTTCTCTTGATCTGATTCAGAAAATCTGTTTATGTCAGCTGACAATTGATGTTAAAGGAGTCTCCATCAAGTTTCAAGTTGCAGTGCATTGTTTTGTGTAATGTGTTACAGTCACTAGGTTATTTTCATACATTTTCTCTCGGTCTTCAGTAATAAGCAACTGCTGCTCTAATGTTACTTGACTGTGCATGGTTAGTTTCCAGCCAGTGTCTCTTTTCATCCTCGGTCACTTTGCAACTCAGTGCCTCTCCTGACTGATCAACTGTCTCTTATTCCCAAGGAGATGATACAATGACCGGTGATGGAGGAGAGTACCTTAGACCAGAGGATTTGAAAGAACTCGGTGATGACTCTCTACCGAGCAGTCGATACCTGGACAATATGATGTATAGAGGAATAGGACGCCTTGGAGAACGCTCAGACAGGTACATTTCTAATCAGTTACTTATTTAAAATTCAGTAAATTCATTGGCTAAGAGAAATTCTAGACTGAAGCAATTATAGTCAAATCACGGTGAGACAAATCGAATGTGGACTGCCCCTAAACTTGTGTTAAACAGAGTTTTGAGACAGCTGAAGAGGCGCCGCATAATCTTATTTGCCTACAAACGTGCTCTATGTCAAGAGATACCAAATGTAAACATGCAGATGTAGTAACTATGTGAAAAAAAGTTTCAATTTTTTTCCTACCTTTCAAAGGCCTGACCTTGTACAGCAAAAGGCATTGAAAAAATACTGGGTGTCAGCTCTTGAAAAACACAGCAGTACTTTCCAGTTAGTGCACTGTCTTTGGACAAGTCCGCCATGTCAATGCAATCAGACATGTTTTCCATGTTTTCGTGCTGCAGGGTGAATTCCTGGAGCACCTCGCCAAACTTTGCAGTTTTAGTTGGGGAAACGGGTGGGTGAGTGGGCAGGCACTCATCAGGCTCTTCATGGTTTTTCAGGGTAATGATCTTTCTTTTCTTTCATCAATATGTTGTGTTCACTTTCTGATTCAGTCATCAAATAATTCTGGAGATCATCCAGGTAGCTTTATTAGAGTCATAGTCTGTGGATAATGCTTTGCAAATGCAAAACAATGTGGCTTCTTAGACTTACCTATCACACAAAGGGACGTCTTTTCCACATCAACCATGTTGGCGCAGACCATAGCAGTGATGTGTTTCTTGCTTCACTTTCTGCCATTACACATTTCATCTTTAAACAGTTAAATAAAATAGTAAAACAGTCTGATTTCATCTGCATCAGAAACATCATTTGGTGCTTATTTGTTCATAGCATAGATGAGACTAATTTGCAGTGATTGCTACAGGCCTGCCCATGATTCTGTGCACTGGCATGGCCTAATTCTGCTTCATTTGGTGGGAATGGTCAAATGACAAGGGTGGACAAGTTTAGCTAATCTGGAGTTACCAGTCTGTACCATCAATTTATTGCAGACATCATTCTTTTGGATTTCCTATTCTGCTGACAGGAATGGCTGACAACCTTGCCACATCCTTTCTACAGCTTGGGCTATCCAGATAGTAAAGCCACAGACACCTATCAGGAAAGCTAATAATTCTTGTTAGTGGTTTGTGGATCAAAGCTTTTGTTTTTTTCATAAAAATTTTACAAGATTCCAAGCAAAGCTTAGGAGTAGCCAAGCTGCTAAAAGGTCAAAGCTGCATCTCAGGAGAATCTAACTAATTTAGCAGAAATAATGAGCTCTTTTGATAGGCATTTCATTCATTCTCATGCCAACCACTGATTTTTATTTATAATCTCTGGAAGATTTGTGGGTATGGTATCTGTTTATTCTGTTTTTTTTTATTGTGTATCTAGTTGCAATTAATAAACCATAATATTAACTTACCTTGGATTAATTAAAAATTGCCGTGCCTAACTATAATCCTTGCCTCTGCATTTTACTTAAATTTTATTTAAAATAAATGAAACCCGAATGTGGCACACTTCTAAGTTTGGTTTATTGATCACCTGGGAATTGTAAGCAGATGGATCTCGCTAGTCGATTTGCAGAGTACCATGTTCATGTTTCCACAGGGCTGAATGAGAAAGTATATACTAGATGGTAGCATACTCAACCACACAGGAAAAAAGATTAAGTGTGTGATTTCCAGTCTGTACTTCATTGATGAGTCTCAGCTGGATGGTCGTTCTATGCTCCAGTTGCTCTCAGTACACTTGAGAGAGGGAAAGGAAACATCAGCCAACCATACAACCGTAATCAAACCAACAACAAAAAATGTGCATTTATATCAGCACCTTTAATGTAGTAACGAGTCTCAAGGCATTTCAGGGACCTATTATCAAATAAAATTTGATACCAAATTATGTGAGAATACATTAGGACAGTTCACTAATGCTTGGTCAAAAAGGGCATCGCGATGAAAGAATTCTCTATTTGAATCTGTGAATCTGAAGGTACAGCTGCCAATAGTGAGCATCTAAATTCAGGGATGTGGATGAAGCTAGTATTAGGGAGCACATAGATCTTAACTCGTTGTGGCTCCACTGGAAATTTATACCTAGGGAGGATGATCTTCTATAGGGATTTAGAGTGAAGGATAAGTATTTGAAACCAATGTGAGTCAGCAAGTTCCGGGGAGAAGGGTGAACAAGACCTCATGGAGTTGGCCTGCTAGCAGGAAAGGTTATGGCAGGTTTAATTTTACATGAGTTAGAAGGTGGGATGCCACCCTGGAGAACATTGGAATAGTTAAGTCTCAATATAACAAAGTCATGGGAGGAAGTTACAGCAGCAGACAACAGAATCTTCTGGGCTCACAGGATGTGAAGAAGGAGCTAGGAGGGCTGGAAAATTAGGTGGACTGTCACTGAGACAGATACCCAACACCTTCCTGCCACCACCCAAGTAAATGCCAGATAGGAGGGACAGAGGACATCCTTCCCATTCTGCCTCCACTTGAGAACTTTAAGTGATCAATTGACAACCACTTAAGGGTCTGTTCCCACCTGGGCAGCCATTATCTTCCAGTTTAATGATCTCATAAACCTGGGTGCAATGCTTGCTAGTTGGTAGAGTGTCTTTGATTTGCAATAATTTGCCATGATGGAGGACATGTACATAGAAGAGGAGTATGGCTGCTGACAGTCACACCACTGCTCTTGCTCTTGACTCAACCCCCCAACTTTGCCTGCGAATGCCTGCACCCTATCAACCCCACCACATCACTAACAACACACCTTTGTCTCTGCTCACTGTGGCATCTTGGGAGTCCAGGGCTGCTGATTTTGCAGCTATCCAGTCCTCCTTGGATGTGTTGCTGAGTCCTGGAGCTATCAGCCTCCAATTGATCAGCATCTACAGGCGGCAGTTAGAGGAAGGCCAACAGTGTCTGCCGATGTGTTTGATAGGCTCAGGATGCAGTGGGTCATTAGACTAGATACTCACCTAACAAAGAAAATTATACCTCTGGTCACCATTGGAAATTGCTGCATAGTCGCAAGTATGCAGTCTTGTCGTGGAGGCAAATATGGATCAGCCCAGGGACAAATCATATTTGTTGTGAATAATGATTTTTTTTAGTTTCACTTCATATACCTAAAGTAGTAGATATTTGAATCATTGGAAATTGGAATACAATGAATTTACTTGGATTTCAGGTTGCTCTTAGGCAATCAGGAGTATCTGTTGTCTGCACTAAATGCATAGAAATATACAAGTTCAGTTGAGAATAATGTTAATTCTGGAGGAATGGTGCATTTTTAAAAGATTTTATTGTACTGTGCCATTTGTGGATAACATGCAAGTGAAGGTCTTTATCTCTACAAAAGTAATTAACCATAAATTACAGTGACAAAGTTGACCTGGCATATCAGATAACTTCATCATTTTCTTTCCCAAAAGTCATGCTCGTACATACTCAGTGTACCAATAAATTCTCTCATCTTTTCAGCCATGATGTAACATACTGATAAAAACCAAAAGAACTGCAGATTCTGTAAATCAGGAACAAAAACACAGTTGCTGGAAAAGCTCAGCAGGTCTGGCAGCATCTGTGAGGGAAGAAACAGAGTTAACGTATCGGGTTTTTAACACATGGTCATGGGAATTTAACACATGGTCATTCTTTGGGTGGGATTTGACTGACATTTCAAGTACACTGAGTTTGGTGGCTCACTTTCGCTGTTTGATGGATAAGTAAACCCTCATTTTGATGGGTTATTTTTAGCAGTTTTAAAGGTTGACTTATGCCCAGAAACTTGCTGTCGTTATTGATACTGTAGATGTTGGTGTACAAGTCCCATTCTAAGAACTTCACGTAAAAGTTGGAGGGAGATCAGAGCAAATATGTAGGCAAAATTCTAAGAAGTGCAAAAGTAATAGGGCAGGAAGTGTATGTAATAACTCAACAAGAAATGCAGCAGTTCCAGACTTCATTTCAGGGAATGAGGGTGGTAAAGTATAAGATGATAGGGATCATAATTCAATTAGAGTTAACACTGCTATGGAAAAGGACAAAAGGAGACCAAGAGTAAAAGTGTTACATTGGAGGCAAACAAGATGTCCTAAGCCAAGATCAAAAGTAGACAGGAAGAAGTCAACTCCCCTCAGCCTCTTTGTTCCAAAGAAAATATGTACTCTAAGGTACTTTTGTTCCTCTATGCATATCAGTATTCCCGTGGGTCGTTTCCACTCCCCCGTACATTACCTCACAGTTCTCAAGACTTAATCCCATTTGTATCTGTGATGTCTGCTTCTTCAGTCCCTTGATATCTTCCTGGAATCTACTGCTGTCTTCCCCACTATCGGACACTATTATTTTGTATCATCTGCACATTTCTCAATTATGACCCCTATATTTAAATTTGAATTAAAATATTCCAGATACATCAAGGCACTATGTACTGAGCCCTGTGGAATCTACCGGAAGCAGCCTTGCAGTCAGTAAAGCGCCAGTTAACCATTAGCCTTTGCTTCCTGCTACTGAGTCACTTTTGGAACCGGCTTGCCCTTTTCCTTTGAATCTAATGGGCTTTTGCGTTTCTGACCAGTCTGCCATGTGAGACCTTTTCAAAACTCATTCTAAACTACATGTGGAATAAATCAAATGCATTACCATCAACCGCCTTTTTATAATCTCCTCCAAGTATTAGTTTATATTTATCAGACACATCTCCCCTTGATAATCCATGCTGATTCGCCTTGCGTAATCTGTGGTTTTCCAAATGGTTAATCAAATCGCTCAGAATGTTTTCCCCTCATCTGCCCACCACTGCAGTTAGACTGGCCTGTACTTATTCAGTCTATCATTTTCCTCTGTTAACTCTTCTTCAGTGTTTGACACCACTTCTTTAGCCAAGGGGGATTGTATAGCGATGATCCATGACTCCAATATTTCTCTTAACAGTTTGGGATACATCTTATCTGAGCTTTGTAATTTATCTCCTTTCAAAACAGTCCCCTCTCACTATATTTATGATATCTAATACTTCACATTCATCCTCCTTACATACAATGCCTGCATCTCTCTCCCTCCTTATTTCATAAGAACAATGCTTCCTATCTCCTCAAACTTTTGGTCTTTCATGGGCTCCACTCTTACCTGAGTTATCCTCAGTATTTATAAAACGTCTTTAGTTTTTCCTGATTTTATTTGCCATTATAGTTTCATGAACTGGCTTTGCTCTATTAATTCCATTGTAATTTACCACTGCAACTTGGATACACCTTTCGGCTTTCTGTAGTATTGAATTTGGTATCTTAAAAATCCTCCTTGTTTGCCTTATCAGATCCTTAGCGTTTAAGAGGCGATTTCTTTTTTGTGGGCCTATTTTTTTTCTGACCCTTCATTACCTGCTCCTTGAATGCCTTCCACTACTCAAACACTGATTTACCTTCAAGTGCCCTAACCAACAAGACTATGGACAAAAGCACTAGTAAGTAGGATTAGGTTGGATAGTTTTGTTTTACCTCAGCCAAATATCTCTCACCTAGTTCTGTTCTTGCTATTGAATCATAGGTACCCAGCTTTACTTCACCATAACCTTTCTTAACTCCTCCACTTCACAAAATTATTCAGATTGCTTGTACAGTGGTACTGCATGAGCAGAAATGACCTCTTATTAAATATTGAGAAATGGATCCCATTGACTTTATTCTCTACTCCAAACTCCATTCCATATCTACCAACTCCATCCTTCTCTTTGGCAACTATTCAGGGCTGAACAAGACTCATCATTACCATTGGTGTCATGTTTGACCCTCGGTTGAGCCTCCAATTACGCTATTGACATCAAAGGCTGCAGACCGGTTTAGAAGGATAAAGAAGAATAGGTTATGTTTTTCACAGTCACATAGGATGTTATTTGTGATGTTGATAAAAGTCCTTTCAGTGCTGAGTGAATCATAGAAATTTACAGCATTAAAAGAGGTCATATGCTCCATTGTTTCTGTTTAGGACGAGAAAAGCTATCTATGTCATCATTCAAATTATCTAGTGCTACCTCCGCACATCACCCACCTGTGCCTCTGCCTCAGGGCTGAGGGCTAGAGGGATACCTTTCATATAATTTTTTCTCTTTACAAGTCTTGAGGCACAAGACTAGCCGTATACACAACCCAACTCTGTGCGTGGTTGCCTCCTCATTGTGTTTTCAAGGTCATGAGGCTGGTGCCCATTAAAAGCCAACATCCACCTGTTCCATACTCCCACCCCACCAAATGACAAGCTGAGTATCAGGCACCACCCCCCCCCCACCTCCCCCATGAACCTCAACCGCTATGCTATGAATTAAGTTTGCAGATTCTGGAATTTTCTCAATTCATGGGAGAAAAAGGCAGACCTACTTTGTGTTTATTAAAACACAAAGTTTCACCAAAGTAATATAGCTTTGAAGTATGTCTGTTTACCAGTTTCAACCCAACGATCTTATGACTTTTGAGCCCCAAGCTGAATGTTCCATTGCTTTGAAAGTGTTATTTTCTATCACAGCTCAATAATTCTGTTCATGAGAAGGAAACAAAACCCGCAACTTGGAACAAATTATTCCAGTTCTATTTGTCTTTGCAATGTATTCTTGTAAATTTAGTCAATTTCTGTCCATCTGTCTATGGCAAACTGCATTTGATTTAAACTATGATTCCTCTACCCCACCGCACCACCCACTGAGCTGAATATCTTTCACAGATTTCAACCATAAATTTCACTTCCTACAGTCTTGAGTTTAAAATTCTCATCATTGTTTTCAAATTCCCCTATGACCTCATCCATCAATATTTGTAATGTCCTAATACCTTCCTCCATCACAATGCTTCAAGATATCTTGCTCAAGCGTTGGCAGGACAAATTGAAAGAAAATTAGAGGAATTCTTTTGGTATCCTCATCAATACTTAACTCACAAACACCAAAAATAATTTATCTGATCACTAATTTGATTGCTTTTATGTCCCTTGTGTAAATGGCTGTTGCAGTTATCTACACGACCACTGTAATGTCTGCATTTCAAAAGTAATTTTATGACTGTGTAGCATTTTGGGACACCTTAAGTATGCACAATACAAAAATATGAATGCAGATTTTTCCAGTAATTTTGGGGGAGTGGTGTAAATTGGAAGTCAAGCTATTTATCACTGGAAGAGATGAAAATGTGGAGGCAAAGTTAGTCCATTTTACTTAGTGATATTGATAGACATTGGGAGGAGGTCACTAGTTTGACGAGCAACAGACAGACCTGAAGAAAAATCATTGGTCCAGAACTCAAAATATTTAATTGTTGAAAGGAATATTGAACATCTGGCTACATTAAATTGGTAGAAGAGTATTGCTTGGCATTTGGCAAGGAGCCAAGCTGCATGTAAATTACGAGGCAATGGATATTGCTTTTTCCTGTTACTAACCAAGTCTTTAACGAATTATTCAACTCAATGTTGTTTCGACTGTGTATACTGTGTATATATGGCATCACAACATCAGTGAAATGTTGTTCTTTTTCTGGCATGATACCATGAGCTTCATTAGAGAAGAAAAAATAAGTCCATGTCCTCCTATTCCTTCTAATTGTTGTGGTAAATGTGGGGGAAAATGACATGTATGTTAAATTAGAAGTTTATTTTCCTCTCTGTTAATACCGTTGTTCTGTATTCATCTGCATGTGTGAGTTTTGCCATTGTTCTGTCATTCTCCCTTCATTGTTGCTGTTTTCCCTCTCCTTTTTCATATGCTTCCACACAGTGGTGTAAACAGGTAGGTGGCCCTTGACGCAAGAGTAATGTCACAGTGCTGTGACAGTGTCTGTCATCCACTTTTACCACTCTGGTAAATCTGCTTGGGGTTGGGGCTTGAGCCAATCACCTTGCATCCTGAAACTGCTTTCATGGCTGCATCGCTTGTTTTCCTACATTCACTGCTAAGCTGCTCACATCAGGCTAGGTCTACAAGACCATAATAATGCTGAAACAGCTACCATTACTACCTTTCTTTTTCTTGTGACTGCTGGCCTGAGATTCAGCAGCCTGGATTATTCAGCTGGAATCTACCACTGATTGACTAAATGGGGGTGGGAGGGGGGAGGCGAGTCGAAGCTTGATTATGATTTTATATTTTTCTTCCTCTGCCAGTGGGTTGCTGGGTGTATATTTTTAGGAATACAATCTTGCTGCAGAGACACAATTTGTTTCCCTCTTCCAGGTATTTGTTGTGAAAAAAATTGTAAATGTGATTTTCTTTGCATCTTGCTAGCAGTCACATCTATTTTACTGTTTACTGTGATCACCTATTTTACTGTTTGTGCTATTACTGCTGTCTCTGATGTACTGCCTGCCTGTTTTCAGGATTAGACAATGCATTGTACTGCGATTAAAAGAAATTATGAACGTTATTTTATAGACATTGGCATTTTATGCATTTTTATTAAGGCTTTAATAATATATGAAAATGATTACATTATTATTTTTTAATTCATTGTGACCTTTTGTCATGTCACATAGACTATATACCGAAACCAACCACGTAGGTTTTGTTGCTCTGACTTATTTAGCTGCCATATTAAGGTAATGCAGAACTCTGGGAGAAATGCTTCAGTTCTTTTTCCTTACATCTTCATCGCTGAACTTGCTATCCTTAGGCTTGAAAGAGAAATGCATATGCTTAACCCTTCAAGAGCTCATTTGTACTTGAGTCACTCAGGGTAAATGTCGCATGAAAGTGTCACTAGCAATCTCCCCCTGAGTGTTGAGATGATAAAAAAAAACATCGGAAAAAGAAATAAAAGAAAAAAAAGTTGTTGCTCAATGGCACAAATTATTAATTTAGTTTAATTATTATGAACATCTTGTCTTGTAATATATTCTTCTCTATTGAGTCTGGTGTAAGCTGATACCTTGAATATTGTGTTCAAAACCTTATGCAACGCATAAATGCTTACTATAAGAAGGAATATTTCATAATGTGATTTTGACAAAAATTTGAGGGAGCTGCATGGTGTCAAAAATCACAAGAGAAATCCAGTACGTGTCTCTATGGTAAGTAAAATTAAGATGCTAAATAAAAATGAAAATGAAAGAACTATGAATGCTGAAAATCAGAAACCAAACAATACACAAATTGCTGGAAAAGACTCAACATGTTTGGCAGCATCTGTGGAGAGAAATCAGTGTTAATATTTCAGGTCTAGTGACCCTTCAGAAAAATTAAGATGCAATTTGCCACAAGGATTTCTTGGGGTAAGACAGTATAAGGGAGTTCTTGGGTCTCTCCTGACTCAGACCTTTCTTAGTGGCATCTTTATCAAATCCAGTCAAATTTGGAGAAGAAAATTGCTAGCTAGTTATTTTGTTTCTTTTTAAGAATTTTCTTACTGACAGTTACTTGCAATGGTATCACACATGGCTCCCTTATCTGAAGTGAAGAATTTGACTTCAAATTGGCTTGACAGTTATTCAGTTGCCCTTACCCAGGGATCCTCCTATGTTGCATTCCATACGGCTGGTATGATTTCCTGGGAGGTACTATAGTTACATACTCTTGTTGTTTACTTTTGTCAGATAAATGGGAATACCCTTGTAGGTGACTTCACCCACTAGCAGGTATACTAGCAACTCCAGGAATGAGGAAATTAGTTTCTATAAAACAAAGATTTAGATGTAAATCTCCTGAAACTAATATTTTTCTATCAGACTGAAGTATGCTTTCAGTCAAAAGTCTTCTCTCCAAACTTACCCATTTCAAAAAATTGTTATGTATAATCAGGTTTCTTTGTGTTTGAGGTGACAATTCTGTGTCACCTGAGAAAGCATTCTTCCTTTGTGCATTTCAAATATGTCTGACTTGCTGAAATGTTTTATTATGCAAGAATAGACACTGATTGATGTCTGACAAATAATTGTGTGCTAGCCAGAATAATGTAACTTGGCTGATCAAAACACCAACTTATCATCAATGTCATCGCCATAAGTGATTTATAAATCACATTTTACAAAAACATAAACCTACTGTAAAATTGTAAACTCTCAGAAATGTACCACTAGCCAACCGCAATGCTTTCCTGTACTGTTGGAATGAAGATAAGTCCAAACATGAGGAATGCAATTTATATAATTTTGTGGAAGGTAATCTGGCAAAGCAGGTCACCTGTCCATTGGAGAACATGCTGCAATTTTGTTCCATTTATTTCAGCCACCACCCAGAACGTTAGAAAGAAGATTGCCCTTGAGATATTTTTGCATTGCTCTAGAATAATACAGCATTATCATAAGGATGTTGAGACACTAGTTGAAGTGCTAAACTGGACATTATTAGAACAAAGAGGTTTACCTTGTTGGAAAGACTGAAAAGGTTGGGCTTTTTTTTCTCTGGAAAGTGGAAGGATGGGGGATAATTTGCCTATTAAATATTCTGAAATTATTTGATGAAATAGATGTACAGAAAATGTCTCCACTGTGGGGAATCCAAATCTAGATGGCATAAATAAAGGAAATTAACTAATATATCCAGCAAGAATTCAACTTTTTACCCAAGAGTGGTAAGAATATGGAATTATACAACGAGCATTTGAAATGAATAAGAGAGATGCACTTAATGGAAAGCTGATAAGTCTGTGAGGGGGAGAAAGGAATAAACTATCATGCTGGGTTAGGCAGAATAGAGTAGATGAAGGCTAATATGGAGCATAGATATCAACGTAGGCAAATTGAGCTGCCTACTTTGTTTCTGTGCTGAAAATTCTGCATATTTTGTGCAATAATGACTCGTAAAACTGCCATACAGTTATAAGGGACCAGCTTTCTTATCTGAGGCAGCAATTACAATCTCAATTAAACAACATGCAATGAGTAGGCAACCAAAAGAAAGTGAGAATTTAAAAGGAGTGCAAAAATCAAAGGAGTTTTGAACATTGAGCACAAGGCAGACACTGAGAGAGATAATAGGAACTGCCAATGCTGGAGTCTGAGATAACAAGGTGCGGAGCTGGATGAACACTGCAGGCCAGGCGGCATCAGAGGAAGAAGGGTCCAGACCCGAAACTTCAGCTTTCCTGCTCCCCTGATGCTGCCAGACACTGAGAGAGGCTGTTCCAGAGAGTACCGGCATAGTTGCAGTTCTAGAGGATAAAATAGGTACATAAGAATCTTTGAGAATGGGAAAAATGGTTATTGGCCCAGTAAGTTTGTTCCTTTTTGATAACTTGCAAACTCAACTGTCTTCTTTCTCATAATAGCACTCAATTCTCTTTACCTCTATAAACAGAAAAAAAAATGTATTGAATTCTTTACCAGCTTCAGTGATCTATGCTGCCGTCGTATTACGCAAACCTCCTATTTTTAAGTTGAAACTGATCCGCTGGACTTCCCATTTCTTTCTCTTATTGCCTTTCACTTGCATCACTTGAGGGTGGAAGCCCTTGCCATTGTGAGTAATCCAACTTGAACAACTTTGTAAGTTCCTGACTTTAATATCTGCTCATAGTCGACTTCTTTCTGATGTGACTCAAGTATGTGATCTTGCAGGGTTGAAGGTGATTATAACTGCACCTCTAAATATCTGCTTATAATATACTAGCAACTTCTGCAGGCCTTTTGGTACACAGCACAGTCACATAATTAATGTAAGTCATATGTGACTGACTAGCACTTGCCTCAATGTACCTTCCAGGGGTTTCTACAGAAAGATTAACGTTTATGTTGGTGAACAAATTTGCATAAAGCCAACAGCGAGTTTGCTCAACACCACTCTGGGATTTTTGGAGTTAATTTCTAATTCTTTAATTGCATGTTGTTTACTCAAAAGATATATCCTTTAAAGCCTTCTGATTCTCTTAGATCAGTCATGGTTTGAATAATTAAAGTGTGAGCTTTTTCAAGTGGAGGAGGTGCTATCTACTTCTTTCAAATACAATTTGATTTCTTCATGTCAGATAATAGTTTTTTTCAGTTATTTTCCCATATAATTTAGGATATTTTAAATAATTAAAATTGAAATAAAAGCAAAATAAACCATAATTCTGTGCAACATCTCATATTTGCTTATTTAGCAGAGTAGCTCACAATTTATTGTTCCTTTAGTTTAAATCCGCTATCATTATTAAACTGTTTTGTGGGGACTGTTTCTATTTTGACTGCTCCCAGGAGTTAGGATTTGACCATTTTGTCCCTTGAACACAGGGTATGCTGCCAGTGTTCCTGCTTTATTTTCTTTTTATTAAATCCTAGTCCCCTGGAAGTTGCATAATATGCTAATAGCATGCTTTCTTCACTCTCCTGCCCATCCTATCCCATCACATCGTCACTTTGCTCCTGCATTTCCATGGCAACTGAACAACCCATCAGCCTACGATCCTTCAGTTCAGACAGGTCCAACACACCAAGCCATGGCCCATACCAGAGGGACAGTGCCATGATTGAAGAATTAATCACAGCTACAAGTAGCCAGGTATGTAACATTGCAGCTTGGATGCAGTCTGAATAGCATTTTTGCTGTTTTAATGTATACTTATGCCTTGATATGCCTCAGGGAATTTTTAAACGACATACAATATTTTCACTAATTAAAAGGAATTTTCTTTGCTGTACATCTAATGAGTTATACCGTTTTGGTTTATTCGAAAATTGGTCTTGAATCTTCTGTTTGCACTTTCTCCTCAGTAAAGTTGGAAAGCTAAGGAATGTTGTAGCACTTTGGATGTTTTGCTTTACCTTTCAAAACAAATTTAGTGCTAAGTGGTTTTTATTGGTAAGAATTCTAATATTACTTAGAATGGGAAGTTACTATATGCATCCATTAACAATTTAATTGATTTTGAAATGAAGGATCTTTAAATACTCTAATTTTTCAGCATGTGCATTGATTCTAACTTTATGTAGACAGTCTAATCAGAGGTTACACAACAAAAATTGATGCATTAACTCTAAAATAAGTATTTCTCTGAAACTGCAGGTAGCTCTGGTCAAGGGCCCTGACAAGGACTCCTCATATCGCTTAAGTTGGGAAGGAGACAACTTGGACAATGTGGCTCTTTCGTCGAGTCCAATCCATTCAGGGTGAGACATATCTTGCAAGTAAACATAAGTAGGAGCAGCGCATGTGTTTGTGGAAGAGCTGGGAAAATAGCATGTATTACGCTGCATTCACTGAGAATGTCCATGATCTTTCATTTTGCACTCCGGATTTAACTGAGAAAGTGACTATTTTGAAAAAATAAGTTGCAACCTGTTTATCATTTATAAAAAATGTCATTTTAACATATTTTCCAGGCCTGGCAATATTTTCATTGACTTTTTTTTTCATGAACTGTAAACAGCTTATTGGAGAGATGTTTTGATTTTGTGGATGATTATCAGACCTAGAAGGAGGGTTTCTCATTCGTATGGAGCAAGCAGATGGAAAGTAACACTTTCCCTCATATTTGTCCTTTAGGAGGCACCTCTGAAAGAGAGAGTTCAGTTCTCTCTGTATACCAATGCACAATTTACCATGCACCATATCATCCTATTTAGGATACTTTAGAACATATATTACTTTGACTAATTCAGTTTTCTCTCTTTGGGAAGTGATTGGTAAGACTGAAGTTGGTGAGATCTGAGACACTAGAACTCTTTCTGAGGTATAAATGTTACAATTTAAAAGTTACTTTCAAATTTGTTATTGAAATTAAAAGAAATTTTAAATGGAAAATTTGTTGCTGCTCATTAAAAATGGTTGTTTTTGATTTTGAAATGCGTAGCTACAGAATTCCTATCCGAGATTTCAACAAGTGACACAGAGTGTATAAATGTACCAAATTCCTACAGCCCACACTATTCAACCAGCCAGACAAAGACTTTCTGTCAGTGTACAAAACAATTTTAAGTAGCAGTGCTAAGAGTTCAGGATATCAAACTTAGTGTTTAAAAACTAACGTTTAAAGGAATAGTAGATGGTGACTCACTAAGTTTTCTTATAACCGTCCTAAGCATGGCTTCAAAGCAATTGCATTTTCAGCAGAGAACTTGATACAGCATGAATCTGAATAAACATGTTTAGCCCTATTAACAAAGGATAGAAGATAAATATTGAAAAATCCAATGCAGTATAAGCCATTTAAGTCTACTTTAGAAAGAAGGAAACTGATTTGCCCTAATTCATTGCTGTGAACTGGCCTGCTGGCTTAGTATCCATCCATTTGGATAAACCACTGAGGCAAGACAACTGCAATTAGTTTTTAATAGAATTTTAATCACAAAACATCATTAGAATATTGGTATATTTCAGCTGACTAGGGTACCATCTGTTTGAAATGCCAATTAGTTGGGTACCTTACTGAGTGGGGAGGTACAAGACTGAGCATCCAACAATGAGAATCCACATTTTTACAGCTATTCAATCAGAACTGAGAGTTATAGCTGATAGATTTGTTGATTAGCCTCCCTGATTAGTGATCTTCTTGTTCTCAGTCTCCTGGCATTTCAGTCAGCTGTGAAACTCAGCTGTTCTACCAAAACTCAAACACAGCTGAAAAACTAAGAATCGGTCCTGGGTACCAATGGAATAGTGAAATCTCAAAATTGAATATGATGCAGTAATCAATAATAGAAACCATTGAATTGAGAATCCACAGGTACAATAGTCACTGACAATTGGTTGATTTAGATAAATTTGTTACGATTGCAATATCCTTGTTAAATGGCTTTTACTGTATTTTTAGATAAGTTTAGTGAATGCCGTAATGATCGACTACCTGTGAAATTGTCATAGTTGCTATCTCAGCGTATATTTAATGTTCCCTTCCCCATTTATTGATCTTTTTTAAATCCCCCATTGCTGCCTCCCACCTTTGTATCTTATCCTTCAGCTACTGGAGCAAGATGGTGCAAGACATAGGAACCTTACAGCCAGCAGGGTGAGAAGATTTTTATCCTATCTGTCTGGATTGGATCTGAACTCGTGGTTGGGTGGGAAGGGATTTTAAGTCCACCCATCTGTTGGTTTCTGACGAGGTGGGCTCTCGTTTACTTACCCACCAGATTGTAAAGGATGCTTCTAGACAGGCAGCTAAGGCTGGAAAGGTTCTACTTTCTATATGGCTTTTGCTTTTTCTAATGTCCTTGATTCCCTGCCATAATTTTAACTTGGCTTGAGTGGAGAAGCCCCATGGTTTTCACACCAGATGATGAAAATTGGGAAACTGAAGAATCCCTCTTTTTCTATAGGGCCTTGAGGAGCATGACATGCCTCCAGACAATGTAAGGAAAGTTTAGATGTCCTTTCAGTTAAACTCACCTGCCTTTAACTATTACATCACCTCCAAAATGCTTCTTTGAGAGTGCTTGAAGCTTGCTTCACACTACTTCCCTCTAGAAACAGGCAGGAAGTTGACTGACAATGTGATAATGCAATGGTTATAATCACCATCACCTCCAACTGGAGTAGACAACTGGAAAACAAGCTCAGAACAGGTAAAAGACCTCCCAGGTCCCAGAGGTCAGTGTCTATCTGAACCCTGTTCTGAGGTGGATGAACAATGCATCATGTTCTAGATGAAAATGTGTGATTCCTTGTCATTTCAGACATCTGTGTTCTTGTTAGTAGCTGACATTATAATTTGAAATTAATCTGTCTTCGTAACTGGTGACCTGTACTCAAGGACTGAAATAACTTTGTTACCGTCTTTCATTACTACAAATATTTGTCATTAGCAATTACATGCGATAAATCTGCCAACACTTAACCTTAGTAATTCAGCAACAGGAATCAATTTAAGGCAGTGTGGTCAACATTACCTCCAATGGCAAAGCTATTGGGCTGAAGCTTACGATAAGTTGGCTGTCACTTTCACCAAACGTCATGGAGGGTCTCTGTCTGAGAGGCCTAGCAAATTTGCTTGTGCTATTATTCCAAACTTACCTTGTTAGCTTCCTACCACAATTCTATGATGCCTGTCTGATCCAGTGCTAGCTCAGCTCTCCCACTTGCCACCACTGCTAGGATATCTTGACATCCCCCATTCAGCAACTCACCCCTTGTTGAGCAGAGAATCCTGACCATGACTGTCCAAGCTACCAAATGACCATGCTTACGCTTCTGAACTGATAGCGAAGGCTTTACTTGATATTATTGTACTGGAACCGAACCTCCCAAGAATGCCGGGTGTTTCCCTTGATTTCACCACTTCCTTCAGGCTTTGAGACATTTGCTTGCAGCACATGTAATGTGTTATCTGAGTAAGCACTGAGTAGGTGCGAGATCGAGGCAGCGAGTTGACCCCTGAACGAATGGTTGATGAATAGCATGATATGTTGTCTGGTTTTATGTCTGCACTGAATGAAAGTACGGCAGTATTGTGAAGCTTTAAACTGAGGCTGAAGAGACAGAGTTAAAAAAAAGACAAGATCAGGCAAAGCAGAGATGCTGTAAGCATCTAGGTAGGTGCTAACTGTGTGAGGTTTTGGCATGCAGCCCAGAGATGCAGCCTGGTCCAGTCTGTCCCTTGCAGAGCATTCCAATCCTACTTATGTGGTGTGCTTCATAGTGCAGCATTGAAATGGCGATGTACACTTTGGAGCAGCAATATGAAGGTGTGGAGAGTTTGGCGCATTGTCAAATGTCAGCATCCACGGATGTGTGGTCTGTATGGCCAGTACCCTGGAACACGCCTGAAACATTGGTGCAGTGTCCAAGATTGAGGTCCGGAAGAGCAAGCAACAATCTGGAATTGCCAGGCACCCATTCTGATTTGGAAGTCAGGAATTCTCGACATCTGGTTTCTATCTGTCCCATGATATGATACAAACCTGCATATTACTGAGGTGAGATTCACCGTTAATAAGGGTGATGACAACAATAATTGGCATCTCACTGTTCTGTAGCAAGAATCTCAACTTGATATCCAGAATTCTTGTTGGAAAATGCAGTAACTGTTCCCGACGTTGAGATAGGCCTCACTTGACTTCTCATGTGATTCTTTCAGATTTCTTGCCAAGATCCATATTGTTCAGAACCCTGTAAGATTCTACTCATTACATTTCCTTTACACAGTAATTGGCATTTCAAAATAATCAAAATAATTTTTCCAGAGTGGTACTTCCAGCTCATCAATCTATTTTATTTCTTCTGTTACAAAAAGCTAGACTCTCCCAAGGAGAAGAGAAAACAATTTAAGTAGCCAAGTTCAGATTAGTGAAGTTATTAAAATTAGAAAAATGAGCTGAATCCTACCAAAATTGCAATGGAACAGTGAGATCCCTATTATTGCTGTCATCACCCTTATTAACAGTGAATCTCCACAAGGCCTTGAAATTTCTCATGCGATCTTTCCCAACTCGCCTTATCAACTATGCACCACGTCCCTATGATGGCCCGCCTTGTCCTCTTCTCCCACCTGCTGTAGGCAGATGTATGCACTACTGCTATGATATCCCAGGATGCCTGGTGCCAATGCCATCTTTCAAGTCCAGCTGTGTACTCAGTCAAGTGCTGGCCATTCTCCATGGGTGAAGTAGGTGTGCAAGCACAAACTGATGCTTCTCAAGGCACATAGGTGGCAAAACTTACTCTTCATTACACATACATGTGCACATTTTTACTTCTATTTCTATTTAAGACTGAAGCTTATCTTCTCTTAGCTTTACCCCATCTTCCAATGCTAAGTGAGTGCGACCCGCTCTCCAGTGTAGGACCATCACATACTGGAATGTTTCAAACATTTAATATTTCAAACGGTTGAAAGTGTTCACTTTTATTCAGTAACAGCAAAAGTAAACAAAAACCAATTCGAAGCTGTGTTTGCTTCTGGGAACAGCATGGACTGCTGGGCTTTGACTGCAAATTTGTTGGTGATTAATGAGTGATCGCTGCACCCAGCTGTCAGCTACTAGAACTGGGTGTCATTTAAGTCTCATCTGGCTTGTCGTGTTTGCTGCTGCTATGCTTTACTGTGTAGAAGATGAAGTTCCTCCTGTTCAATACCCTCATCATCCTGCTCCAAACACTATTACTGATCTCCCAGCTCGTCAAAGTCCATGATATTCCAACACAGAATTATGCAAAGCAGAACAGGAGCATT